TTAAAAGACGTTTAGATGTAGAGCTTAGGGGTATGGTTTAGTGGGGACTGTTAGCGTTAGGTCAGAGGTTGGACTCGATGATCTTGAGGTCTCTTCCAACCTAGAAATTCTGTGATTCTGTGATTCTTTCCAGCAAGAGAAAACAGATTTTTTGGGCTGCCACTGTTATAATCTGAAGTGGAGGTAAAGGCAAACAGAGGTGGCAAGCAAATCCCACTTCCAAAGCAGAGTCCACCTGATCCTGTACAGAGAATCCCAATTCCATACTAAGTTCATGAACCAAGCTCATGCAAGTTCCCCAAGCCATAACAGTTGCTTAAAATGATGTGCCTACAAACCCTATCTTGGCAGACAGGAGAGGTAGGTCTGGTCCACATTTAAGATATGCTAACATGCTTACGGCTATACTGGAATTAATTTTTTCCACGCCAGAAAAAGTCTCAGAAAAGACATCATCACATGGGCCAACAAACAAAGAGACAAAAAAAGCAGACAGACCTTTCGGGGCAACCAGCTTAAACTGTGTCCAAACAATGCTTCCAAAAGACTGCAAATATAACCCGTCTCGTCTCAGTTTTTAAAGACAAAATTACCATTTTAAAGTACAGAGCTGACAAAAATTACATTCATCATAGGACAAATTAAACTGGGATGTTTCCTTCCCCAACTCGAATATAGGCAACAAAATCTTATAAGGAAAAAAAATTCCCTAGCTTGCTGTTTTATATATACCCTCAATTTAAGCTCAAAGAAAGGAAGCCAATCCAGAAATTAGCATGCAACAAGAACTTGATTACAGTCAGAAAATGAAATAAAGGAAAAATGAACCCCAAGGAAAATAACTGAAAATGAGGTAATTGGGAAGGGGGCACAAAACCCCAAACCTCAGACTATCCAAAACAGCAAGGGGGAGGGGAGATTTCATCTCGTGCTCACTTTGCTTTAACACACTACATGAAATAACATACTTTCATTCCTTGACAAAGCTCCAGACCTGACTGTAAAGAAATAATTGCCATGCAAAAAAAGGGCGTTTTGATTTCTGAACAGCCAAAACTTCAAAATGCATTTTAAAAAAGCATCCCCATCTCTCAGCATATCAAATGCTTTTTCTCCCTCCCCTTTCTCCTAATACAGGTAATTTTCTTAGTAATTTTCACCTTTGCACAGTTTAACATAATGGGACAAATAATACATGATGCACAAATAAGTCATAATGCTCTGTGCAAGTTAATAGGGGCAGTGAAATGCTGAATGTGTGATAAATCTAGTCCTGACAGTGAAATATGCCTCCTAATTAAAAATCAATTATTAAAAACAGTAAAGAAAGAAAAAGAAAAAAGACTTACCCACCAAACTCATAATAAAATCCAGGAAACTTCAGAGTTATGTGAAAAGCAGAAAAAAAAAAACAACTTTGACATGTATATTAACTAAAAATTCTTCCATGACTCTATTGTGAGTTTCTTGATTTTATGATTAAACAGTTCTGTGAAAAATTGTTTCTGGTATCTTTTGTACTTTTATCTCTTCATTCCGAATATCCATAAAAATGAAAAAGACATCATTCAAATTGGGAATGCAAGAACAAATCATTACTTCAGCTCTGTGAAATCAAAGTATGCTGATGCCCTGATGTGACTCCAAGGTGACACAGGAATGAGGAGCAGCTGCCCCAAACCACCAGCACCTGGACTTACAACAAAGTGCATTGTGTTTACCAACAACATTGCTCACCGAGTTCCTCAGAAGCTCTCCTCCAGAAGCTGTTTGAAACGCGTGTATTGAGTAATTTGTAAATTTTAGATCGGGGTTTTCAAACAATTATTTCCAACTATTTTGTGTCCAATTCTGGAAAGATTTCATACACAGAACAGCTCAAAAGCAGCTCAAAATCACAAAACATTTTTGCATGAACTTGAGCAAGCTGAAATTTCTGGTTTTCATTTTCTGTAAAACTAAGATATGTATTCATACCCCCAGCAGTGACAGAGAGATTTAATTAACAGGCGTTACTGAAGAGATCTGAATCCCATTAATGGAGAAACTATACTTATATTATACATTATCATAAATATTCAGTATCCTCAATCAAAAGAAGATGTTGGTGTTTACATATATAATAAAGTTTTAATAATTCACTAGCTGTATTGCACACAGACTACTGCTACCGCTTAATTCTGGAAAAGGTAAAAAAAAAAAACATATCTAGAACTTTAAAACCAAAACCTTTCAACTGAGAAGGAAAGGAAACCTTATGCAGAGAAGTGAACATTGCCAACAGCAAGTTTTTTCTCCACAAGGCTGTAGCAGTGGGGGCCCAGGCTTCACCTGCCTGTAATGGCTGCGGGTCGCCATTTGCTGCTCCCCTGGGTGACCCCCAGCCTAAGGACCATGCTTACCTTTCCCTCATCTGAAGGGGCATAGCCAAAGTCAGGACTACTTTGACAGTGGAATTATCAGGATTTTTTTCCTGAAAAGACTTGGAAAACCTAACTGAGCCCAATTTACAGTGACAAGAACAGAGGATGAGGTGGCTACCCTACTTAAGGGTGGCTCGCAGCCCCTCCAGAGTGCAACAGTAACCAATCCAACTCCAAACCATAAATAATGCAGACAATTTGGGTATTTTACCTCCATCAGCATCCAACAGGACATAGTGTTATCCTCCACAGGATCTGGGATTGCACTGGGCATGATTTGCAGGTTTCTGGAAGCAGGGTGATGCAGGGACACCTCCTCTGTCAGGGGGCCAGGGCTGCTGGCCAGCTGCGGTCGCTTCCCCAACAGACTACATGGACCCACTGCGCACCCAAATTCACCCCACTGGAGGAGTTTCTGGCATTGCTGTGGAAACTTATTTCAGAAAAGGTGGCAAAAGCCAAAAATGATGCCAGGGCATGAGGACAGAGGTGAGTCTGGGAAGAAAGGAGCAACAGCGCCCTGACCTCGACCGCCTGTGCCGCCGCCATCACCTCAGCGAGCGGTGCGCCACCTGCCCTGAGGGGAGGCCCCGAGGCGGGAAAGGGGGCTGAGGCATTTTCGCTGCTTATTCATCTCTTTTTATTTTTTCTCCCCAGTACCAGACCCAGTCATTAGAATTTTGTATATTGTCAATAAATCAACTTGATCACAAAACTTAAACCCATTTTTTGGCTAGCAGCAGGGACCGCTGCTAAAAAAAAAATCCATGAGAGCTGCTTCGTTGCACATAATTTTAAACCTGAATGTGGACTGAGATAAACCTGTGGCCAAGAAGCAGCACGACTGCTCGTTGCTGCAATCTTCTTGAATTCCTGAGCCCTCCAGAGTCCACACTGGATGTCACGGGGAAGTGGAACCCACAAAAAAACTTTCCCAGAGCCGGCATGCTTGGCAGCAGGGACCAATGTGGCACCACATTCAAGTGTACCACTCATCTGTGGGATGCTGCTTGCTTGCCCATTCCCTTAGTAAAATTATTTCAGATTCACAAGTGATTTATGTTCTTTGAGCAAGCATCCTTCACTTCCCACAGTCAACGAATGAAACACGGGTCAGACTGGTGACAAAATCAGCCTTCCAACTGTGTGGCTGTCCTCTGTGGAGCAGCAGTGGGGAAGGCAGAAAAAAGATCCATAAAACACAGGAAAAGTCCCCTCTGCCACAGAGGGAGAGCCACACCACTGACTGCCACGCTGAAAGGACATCAACTTCTCAAGTACAGTCCAGCTGAATAAATACCACTGAAAGTCAATAACCAAATCCTGTTAGGAGCCACAGTGCTCTGGGAACCTGATTGGAATTTGAACATTTGCATTGATGTATTTTTTTTTCACATTTCCAGCTGGGAGTAAGCACTGGAGAGAAGGTATGCTCCATGGGAACAAGACTCGTGAGTGAAGGATTACCTTTTAAAGGATTATCTTTTAAACAAAGAAAAATTTGGTATACTGCAAGCAACTAACTAAAATCAAAAGAAACAGATTAATCCAATAGGATTATCAGGTAAGGCTTCTCTGTACCTTTAACGTCCAGATACACAGCTGAGAAATATGAACAATTTTATTTAGATGTCTTGGTGCAGTTGTCAAACACCTTTTCATGTGACAATCCCCTGTTCATGGTTCACAAATAAGAGCTGCTTATTCGGTTAAGGTTGTTAAAACAAAAGCTTTTACTTATTATCCTCAGCCTCACAAGCAACAGCAATCTTTTTTTTTCCTTTTTTTTTTTTTAACAGAGCCCTTTACTTTACCCTTGCATATGTAAGCTCTGATCATCAAGTCCTTTTAACTCCAGCCAGGAAGAAAGATTAGTAGCTGCCTGCACTGCTCCTACATTGTGAAATTTCCAGAACTGAGCTCTTTTACTTCCCTCTGGGAGACAGGGTAAGTAACAGAAAACTGAAATCAAGCACTGCATGGTTTTATTCCTGAATTGTAACACTCATGTTAGCTCTTACGGCCATGGTCCTGCAGTATTGCAAAAAGCAAACAGCACTGATCTCCAAAAATAAAACATATTTGGAAACAATGGCCACTATATACACTTGTACCTCTCTCTTTTACTAGTAGATATGTTGGCAGCATCACGCACAAAAGAATTGTACTGAAATTTACTTCATAATTCTCACAAGCAGAATGGGGTAAGCAAACAAGTAAAAAAAGTGCAGAGATAAAACCTTGTTACTTTAGTAAAATAGCATTTTATCTTGTTTTAATTTTGTAACATTTTAAAAAAACTATTTAATACACATTCAAAGTTCCCTTGAAGTAACTTAAATAAAAATCCTAATTACTTAAACACAATATAACATAACCCAGTTTGGTTAGCCCCAGGTCAGCTGTACCCGAATCCAGAGAAGTAAAATAATCCAGCAGCAGTCACGAACCCTGCTGCTTAATGGTATGAAACATTATTGACTTTGCTGAGGTTTCCCATCTAATAATTTTTCTTTTCCATATATAAGATATTTCACATTTATTTAAGAATAAATACAATATTAAGCAAAGGCTTACCTCCTCCACCTCCAAGAAGGCTGGAATTAGCTGCAAGAAGAACAAAAGGAGAATCGTTAGCATAGAGCTTCCTAAATACAGATGGTACCAAAACAGAAGATGTTTCTCAAAATGTTTTCCATTGCTTTCATTTCAGTAACTTCGCTACTCTCCACTTACCCAAAACCATTTACTGCAAACACAATCTATGTAATTTGTAATCATAATCTTTACCTTTGCAATATCTTTGTACATGTAAGCTAATAAATAAAACAATATTAAAGCTAAATGTGCTGAATAGCTTATGAAATTACAATCTTGATTTTATAATTCTATAAACTGCATTTCTTTTTGATTACCAAATGAAGTAAAATAGCCTCTCATTTTAGAGAAACTTTAGTCTCTCTTTGGAGTGACTTTGATGCAACTTTTGATTACCTCTCCTCATTTTCTATGACATGGGACCTTTGAGAACAGCCATGAGAAACCTTGGCCCCATTGAAATCAAAGGGTGCTTTACCACTGTCTGCAATTAAATTGGGATTTCACTCAGTATGCTTAGCTGCTTCTGTGCTACATCCATCCAGCTATCTATCCCAGAAATAGATAAATCGCTTATGGAATGCAGTTTTCAGAGCATGGTGGTCCAAGATGATCCTTCAAATTAAAGTACCAAAATTGGAGCCAAGCCCAACATTTTCTTTTCACAGACTAGGCAAAAACAGAAGACAAGCCTAAGTAAAGTTTTGAGTAAAGTATTTACCCTTTAGATGTATGGGAAACCAATCCCTGTCATCATAATATTGAAAACAGTATAAAAGCAACAGTAAATGGGCAAATGGACAAAGGTATTTCTTATCACTTGTTGATGAGTACAGGAGAAGCAAGACAGCGAACTATTGTTCTGCTCCAAGACAAGATACATAGAATAAATCAGGCATTTCCCAGTATCCAAACTTCCTACTGTCAAGATATTGCTTCTCTGATTTCCTTCAGCTTCTTAACTGGAAAGCTTTAAGCAGCAAATTCCCTGATGTTATTTTTTTCCATCACTTTCTTGAGACTTTCACAGAAAATCGACAGTTACCTTGCTTTTCCTCCATTTCTTTTTCCAATACTCTACATACATCTTTAATATCTACTTTCATTTCAACTATTTGCAACCAGCTTTCCCTCACACTGCAGTGAAACTGTCTTAATCAGCAAGCTAAACTTTCCATCAAAGTAGCATGCTCAAGATCAAAGAGGGATCTCTGATTCTAAAAAAGCATCATATACCATTAGCACTATCTTACAGTAACTCAAGACAGCACTCTAGATTATCCAAGATGCAATGTCCTTTAAAGAAATAAATATGTAATTTTATATCTAGCTTAGCTGACAATATCAAATCTGAGTAAACCACAAACTAAATGGGCAGTTAGCCATCCTAGGACATGCTGTTCCTACATCTGTTGAGTGGGTGACTCATTAAGACCAAAACCTAGAGGGTTGTTCTTGTACACCTTTCTGATCAATGCCTGGTTCTAATATACCAGAAGATTCAATAGAAGAAGATTGGGCGAATAATCTTTGTTTCTAAAACTAATTGCCCACACAGCTTTTGTAGCCATTTTCAAATAACTGTTTGTTTGGAAATACAGGAAGGCTGGAGTGACAGGCACAAGCACAAAATGGAAAACTGAAAAAGATCATCTGTGCTTCGTGAACATCACGTTAAGCCAGTCTGTTGAAGTCTTGTGCTGATGAAATGGGAAGGTCTCCCACTCCCTTCTCTTTATATCACTCATCCCTGGCAAGTGACAACCTTCCTGTTTGCTGCATGAATTCTTCCTTCAGATTCAACTCAGTAAACCAGGTGAAAATAATCCACTATTCTTTTTGGTACTGTTTTCCAACACATCACTGAAGTGAAACGGCTCGTGGAAAAACACACAAGAGGAAGAACTGTGTGACTAGAAAAAAGACAATGGTGGCAACAGAGTTTGGCGAGATGGGATCCTCCCTTTTGGCAGTCAAAAATGACTACAATCACTCCAGATCCTTAACTTTAATGTACCTGCATCCCAAGAATCAACTGTTTTCCTAGGACATCACTGTCACAGTTACTTTGCTTTTAAATGGCACAAGAATCATTTACACTCTTGGCTATCCTCTATCAAATGATAGCAGGGAACACATATTGCCATATATATAAATTGACTTTGAAAAAATACACAGTAATAGTAATAATAAATCATAGATTCCTGCAGTGGTTTGGTTTGGAAGGGATCTTTAAAGATCACCTAGTCCAACCTTCCTGCCATGGGCAGGGACACCTTCCATTAGACCAGGTTGCTCAAAGCCCCATCCAGCCTGGCCTTGAACACCTCCAGGGATGGGGCATCCACAGCTTCTCTGGGCAACCTATGCCAGTGCCTCACCACCCTCTGAGTGAAGAATTTCTTCCTTATACCCTAAACTAAGTCTACCATCTTTTAGTCTAAAGCCTTTACTCCTTGCCCTATCACTATAAGCCCTTGTAGGAAAGAAGGAGAGAGATTTTTTAAAAGCCCCCTTTAAGTACTGAAAGGTTGTAAAAGAGGTCTCACCAGACCCTTCTCTTCTCTAGCGCTTAACAACCCCAGCTTACTCAGCCTCTCCTCGTAGGAGAGGTGCTCCAGCCCTCTGATCATTTTTGTAGCCCTCCTCTGGACCTGCTCTGACAGGTCCCTGTCCTTGTGCTAAGGCCTCAGAACTGAACACAGCATTCTGGGTGAGGTCTCACGAAGGCAAAATGGAGAGGGAGAACCACCTCCCTTAACCTGCTGGTCATGCTTCTTTTGATGCAGCCCAGGATATGACCAACTTTCTGGGCTGCGAGCATGCACTGCCAGCTCATGTAATTTTTCATCCACCAGGACCCCCAAGTCTTTCAATCCATGTATCTCCGAATCTGTACTGATGATGTCTGGGATTGCCCTGACCTATGTGCAACACCTTACACTTGGCCTTGTTGATCTTCATGAGGTTCATGTGGGCCCACTTCTCAAGTTTTCTCCAGGTCCCTCTGGATGGCATCCCCTTTTTGTGTCTTCTCAACTGTACCACTCAGCTTGGTGTCATCTGCAAATATTGCAGGCATACTGCAAAAACTGCTGCTGAACTTCAATCTCTATGTATTCCCCTGCTCTTGCCCTCTCTGAAATTCAGTATTAAGGGCAGACACAAATTAGAAACAGTCACATATTTCTACAGGAGCCTCCAGAGTACTCCTGTACCAGGTAACATCACCTGCAGTGAAATGAGCATATCTGAGATAAAAATCAGCATAACATTCTGTTTCTCAGCATATGAAATATCTACTGCCATGAGTGTGCTATACAACATTTCTTTTTGGCAATGTAGAATGCACCTACAATTACCGTTCTCATTCTTGAATGAGTCAAATTCTAGGATTTCAGTGATTATCTCTGAGAGACATAGCTAAGATCTGCTCTACCTCAAAGTTCCAAAAGTTTCCACTGCTAAAAAAGTATTCTTCTGATATCCAGCCAATATTCCCATTGCAAAATCTCATTTGCTGGCTTCTCAGAGAATTATGTTTCTCTCATGAAGTTTTCCTGACAATGCTCACCTTTCCAATACCTTCTAAAACTTGTTAATAACATATAAGTCAGCATCACACACTTCTCTATAGAAACAGCAAAAACATTTCAAACAGATTTTTGGCTCCAATGGATCTGTCGTAGCTATTGGAATTGTGGCAGTAATTCTACAGGCTTTTTTTTAAAAAAAAAAACTTTTATTTTAGTTTATTTCTTATTAAAGCATTACACTTACATACTAGAAGGAAAATAAAACTCTTTTCCTATGATGCCAGGAAGGACCATGGACAAACTATGAATAGAGTATCCTTTCCAGAAAGATAACTTGTCACTCAAAACCCAGCAACTTGTATTTTCAGATGTTTCAGACTGTACCCATAAGGCTCAATAAAACATACCACTCAGGTTTTGGGAAGGCTCTGCCATTAAAGAAGTACCTAGTCGCTTACCCCTCTAAGAACACCTCATCTGCAGCCAGAGCTAGGGATTTTCACCTCCACTCAGAGAGCAAGTCAGCACAGCCCCATGGCTGTAATCACATCATATTACACTGGAGCAAGTATAGCCTGTCTTCTCAGGCCTCCAGTGTTAATCTACAGCTGCATTTCATCCACAGTGCTCCCAAATGATCGAATCTTGCAAAACACCTTGAAACGAGCAGGTATGAGCAACAAGATATGGAAGCAGTCAGCCTCCAAAGCTGATGCAGTCCAAACTGCCTCCTGGGTTGGACCACTGCACTGTGTGCAGGCACAACTCCCACATCTAACTCAGGGCATGTCCAGTCCTAAGTAGCACTTAGGACAGTATTTTTCTTTGACTAGTTAACCCATCCTGACTAATCTTTTGTCCTTATTTCTCTATTCTACAACTGAGTAAGATTCTGGAAACAGGAGATTTCGCAGGGTGGGGGGAGAACCGAATTGTTACCAAGTTACCAAGACAAAGAACAGTAAAAGAAAACAAACAAGCATAAGAGGGTCTCCAGAAAAATGTGAGGGCAAGATTACTTGCACCTCATTTCATTCTCCATGTCACCCTTTGAAGCTGACTTGCCCAACCTATCTGAAATTGCCTCTTTACAAGCTATAACAGATTCCTGGGCATTAACTCAGAAAATCCAGTCACAATACGGATCTTGAAATATGATTTTAATATGTTCTCTTTTATACTTAGAGGAGTGATGACAGAGTGGTCAGGCAGCCAGCAGAGTACACAGCTCCTTGTCAGGCTCCAATATAACACATGTTGATAAAGCCCCACTGAAAACACCTCACTTAGCAATGGCCCACAAGAGGCAGCATAGGTGAGAGCTCGTCTAACTTTACATGTTTCCATTTGCAACAGCTAACACAGACTTCAATTAAAAACAAAACAAAACAAAAAAAAAAAACAGGCACATACAGGGAGCAATTCCCGGGGGTATATTGAATAGCAGCTTCAGGATGAGACAAATCACAGCAC